TCTGACTTTTCCTATCTCAGGATGTACAGGTCCCTGGTAGCTGGGAGGGATGAACAGCTGTACTCAATAAATGAGAAGACATAATAGCATGCATCTATGGGCTCAGCAACTGTTGAGAATCCTCAATTCAGTAGAAACTACTTTCCTCTTGGGCTTCCCTGGTAGCTCAGCGGTAAAGAATCCATCTGCAGTGCGGAAGACCCAGATGTGATTCCTGGGTCGGGCAGATCCCCTGGAGGAGGGCATGGCAACCCGCTCCAGTATTCTTGCCTGGAGAATCCCACGGACAGAGGAGCCTGGAGGGCTACAGTCCATGGGGTCACAAAGAGTCAGACATGACTAAGCGACTGAGCACTCATCTATCTGCCTATCTACACATACATATCCTACTGGTTCTGTGTCCTGGAGAACCTTGACTAACACAGGCGATGTGGGTGTGTGTACTCGTCTAAGCACTTGCTCTAGCACTTTGGGAGAAGAGGACAGAGCATCACAGGATGGACATGCGTGCGTGCTCAGTAGCCTCAGGCAAGTTTGACTCTTTGCAACCCTATGGACTATAGCCCACCAGGCTCCTCTGTCCATGGGATTCTCCAGGCAAGAATGCTGGAGTGGGTTGCCATGCCCTCCTCCGGGGGATCTTCCCCACCCAGGGATCAAACCTGAGTCTCCTGTGGTTCCTGCATTGCAGGCAGATCCTACTGCTGAACCACCAGGGAAGCCCTCATAGGATGGACATGCAGGCTATAATCTTGTCCTCATCTTGTATGTGAATGCAGGCTCTCCTCCATATTTTCAAAAAATGTGACTCATAAGGGCTTAATTTCCAAAATATACAAACAGTTCATACAGCTCAATAACAACAATAAAAAACCAAACCAATTGAAAAATGGGCAGAAGACCAAAATAGATATTTCTCCAAAGAAGACCTCAGATATGCAGATAATACCACTCTCATGGCAGAAAGTGAAGAGGAACTAAAGAGCCTCTTGATGAGAGTGAAAAAGTTGGCTTAAAACTCAACATTCAGAAAACTAAGATCATGGCATCTGGTCCCATCACTCCATGGGAAATAGAAGGGGAAAAAGTGGAAACAGTGACAGATTTTATTTTCTTGGGCTCTAAAATCACTGCAGATGGTGACTGCAGCCATGAAATTAAAAGGCACTTGCCCCTTGGAATAAAAGCTATGACAAAACTAGACAGCATGTTAAAAAGCAGAGACATCACTTTGCTAACAAAGGTCCGTATAGTCAAAGCTATGGTTTTCCACTAGTCATGTATGGATATGAGGGCTGGACCATTGGAGAATGAACATCAAAGAATTGATGCTTTCAAACTGTGATGCTGGAGAAGACTCTTGAGAATCCCTTGGACAGCAAGGAGATCAAACCGGTAAATCCTAAAGGAAATCAACCCTGAATATTCACTGGAAGGACTAATGCTGAAGTTGAAGCTCCAATATTTTGGCCACCTGATGTGATGAGCCGACTCATTAGAAAAGACCCTGATGCTGGGAAAGATTGAAGGCAAAAGAAGAGGGCAGCAGAGGATGAGATGGTTAGAAAGAATCACTGACTCAATGAACATGAATTTGAGCAAACTCTGGGAGATAGTGAAGGACAGGGAAGCCTGTCATACTACAGTCCATGAGGTCACAAAGAATTGGACATGACTTAGTGACTGAACAATAACAACCAAATAAGACATACAGATGGCCAACAGGCACATGAAAAGATGCTCATTAGAGAAATGTAAATCAAAACTACAATGAGATATCATATCACACCAGTTGGAATGGCTATCAACAAAAGTCCGCAAGGAGCAAATGCTGGAGACAGTGGGGAGAAAAAGTAACCCTCCTACATTATTGGTGGAAATATAAATTGGTGCACTCACTATGGAAAATAGTATGTAAGTTCCTCAAAAAGCTAAAAATAGAGTTGCCATATGATCCAGCAATATATACCAGTCCTAGACATATACCCAGACAAAACTATAATTTGAAAAGATACATGCATCCCTATGTTCACAGAAGCACTACTTGTAATAGACATGAAAACCTAAATGTCCACTGACAGATGAATGGATAAAGATGATGTGATGTATACACACACACACATACACAATGGAGTATTACCCAACCATTAAAAAGAATGAAATAATACCATTTGCAGCAACATGGATGGATCTAGAAATTATCATACTAAGTGAAGCAAGTCAGAAAGTGAGAGACAAATACCATATGTTATCAGTTATGCAGAATCTAAAATATTTAGGTTAGTACAAGAGTAATGGTGGTTTCGGACCGTGAATTTTATATCATTATAACTAGGCTCAGACACATCTTTATTAATCAAAATAGGCACCATTACAATCAACACATTTTTGCCAATGAGAAATAAGTCTGTTTAGTATAAAAATCCATGCTTCAGGATTCAAAGAACTCTTGGGAAGCATTTTCTGCCTCCAGCTGGTTGTGGAAGTCTTTTCCCTGCAAAAAGTGGTTGAGATGCTTGAAGAAGCGATAGTTGGTGAGAGGCCAAGTGAATAAGGCAGACGAGGCAAAACTTCATAACCCAATTCTTTCAACTTTTGAAGCATTGGTCGTGTGACTTGCAATCGGGCCTTGTTGTGGATAATTGGGCCCATTCTGTTGAACAATATTGGCTGCAGGTGTTGCAGTTCAGTGTATCTCATCAGTTTGCTGAGCATACTTCTCTGATGTAATGGTTTCACCAGGATTCAGAAAACTGTAGTGGATCAGACCAGCAGTAGACCACGAAACAGTGACCATGACATTCTGGGGTGCAAGTTTGGTTTTGGGAAATGCTTCGGAGCTTCTTCTCGGTCCAGTCACTGAGTTGGTCATTGCCAGTTGTCATATAAAATCCACTTATCATCATGCATCACAATCTGATTGAGAAATGGTTCACTGTTGTTGCATAGAATAAGAGAAGATGACAATTCAAAATGAGGATCTTTTCGATTTGTGGTCAGCTCATGAGGCACCCACTTATCAAGTCTCTCCACCTTTACAGTTTGCTTCAAATGCCGAATGACCGTAGAATGATCAACGTTAAGTGCTTAGGCAACTTCTCATGTAGCTGTAAGAGGATCAGCTTCAATGATTCTCTCAGTTGGTCGTTGTCAACTTCTAATGGCCAGCCACTATGCTTCTCATCTTCAAGGCTCTCCTCTCCTTTGCAAAACTTCTTGAAACACCATTGCACTATACATTCATCAGCAGTTCTTGGGCCAAATGGGCTGTTGATGTTACAAGTTGTCTCTTCTGCTTTATGACCCGTTTTGAACACGAATAAAAAAAAAACCATGAAATTTGCTTTTTGTCTGACATCATTTCTATAGTCTAAAATAAATATAAAATAAACATCAAGTAATAAGTCGTTAGCAAAAAAAATAGAGAAATGAACATTAAAGTGATGTATAGCATAACCACATTTAACAATGTATTCCAATATCAAATGGCAACGTTCAACAATGCAAAACTGCAATTACCTTAGCAGCAACCTAACACGACACAAGTGACCAGATCCTACGAAACAGAAAAATATTCAAAGACACGGAGTGCAGACTTGTGATTGCCAAGGGGTAGGGGGAAGGGGAAGCAAAGTATTGGGAGTTCGGGATTAGCAGGTGCAAACTGCTACATATAGAATAGATAGAGGACAAGGTCCTACTCTGTAGCACAGAGAACTATGTTCAATAGCCTGTGATAAACCATAATAGAAAAGAATATGAAAAATAATACATATATGTATAATGGAATCTCCTTGCTGTACAGCAAAGATTAATACAATATTGTAAATCAACTAGACTTCAATAACCATAAAAAAAAAAAAGAAGACAACAGCTCAGTTTGGGAAAACGAACTGCTATGAACAATTTGCCATGGCTATGATCCAGTGGCCTGGAGAGAGTAAATATGGGAAGTCGTGGTTGGGCCTGGAGTTTAAAGCAGGTTGCTCCCCGGAACACCTGACTCAGGGGATATGGCGGCCTCGTAAACAAGGCTCCAGAGCCACCGGGTCAGGACTCTCCAAGGTCTCACTGCCAGATGTAGGATTTAGAAAAGCTACTCTCCGGGGAGCATTTCCATTAGCTTCAAGCGTAGGGTGAATTCCTGTAGAAGTCTGCCTGGCCTGGTGTTGTGGGGTAGCCAGCGGAGCAGGGTCCCTGAGGCAGGAGCGGTGGCCACCGGCCATGCCCACAGTGGAGGGCGGTGGGCTCAGCCGCTGGCAGCCCCTGCAGGAAGACGAAGCCAGGGGAGGAGCCCCGGACCCACGCTCCAGGGCCTTCAGGAGGCAGCCCCTGGAGACCCTCACAGGAACAGTGTGGGGACTTGTTTTGAGACGACTAGCTGAATTTCCAGCAGTGAAGCCAGCAGGGACTCCGGCCATGATGATTTGGAAATTAAAAAGAGGCGTAGGCTGTTTTGCTGTCACAGGCTAGTTAGCCAGGGATATGTGAGACTCGGGGGAGAAGTTTCCTCTGACTCTGTGCCCCCACCCCCCACCCCCGCCATCCCCAAGCCAGGGGTGGGAATGGTGGCTTATAGGAAAAGGATGGCCTTCTCCCAAACATGGCCCAGCCGGTGATGTTCCTAACTGACGCCAATCTGAACTCACAAACTGCTGAAGAAACAAAATCTGGTTAAATTTGTTCTTTTTCACTCTTCTTAAAAATATCAAAAAGCTAATATTTTGCAGGCAGCTCTTATCCTGGCCACGCGGGCCTGGCCTTGTGGGGTCCAAAACAAACACACCTGATCTAGATTTGGTCAGCATCAGGAGGCCCGAGAAGCGGCCAAGGAATTAGGAGAGGAATCCGAGGATTGTTCCTCCTCCTGAAAGGCCTCCACTTGAAATAGCTCTCGCTTTGCAGGAGCTGAGTGGGCGTGTGACAAGCAGAGGGAGCAGGGATGTGGGGAGCAGTGTTTGAATTCACTCGGGCTCACGTGAAAGGATTTTGATGCTGACCTGTCACTGGCGACAGATCTGACTCCTTCATGGGGATAAGTATTTGTCGTCTTTTCGCTTCACAGTCCAGGGTACTGGTGAAGAGTGAAGATGTGGGACACACGGTTTCTGGTGGGGACTGTGCTCTGAGCCGTAGGCTGTTGTCTGCTGGAGACAACATGCTTGAGGTAATGACTTTCTGAACCACAGAATTGCAGAAATCTGTTTTTCATGGATTATGTGTCAGCTGACTAAAGTCAATGACCGTTTGTGGTTGTTATTTTAGCCACGAGGGGGCGTTAGGTGGGATTGGTGGTTTTCACCTGGAATTTAGGAAATCACTGACTTGTGTCGTGAATGTACAGCAGGAAAAGAACAACTAAGTTTCTGAAGGACGAACAGAGCCGCCCTGATCCCTAACAGTGTGACATGACCAGAATTGACATTCGGACTTCTGGGAGGCTGTTGAGGGCTCCGAGGCTGCCTGTGGCTTCCCCACTCACTTGAATTCTCTCGGATCCAGTCTGCGTCATCCCACTTCCAGCTTTCTCTATCTTCCCTTAACTGTTTGAGTTAAGGAGACCCCTCTCTTAGGGAGGTGTCTTCCAGAAGCAGACCCTAGTACAAGCAACTTATTTAGGAAGCTGTCCCTGGACAAACTGCTAAAGTAGCCAGTTAATTGGGCACAGCAAGCAAGCCAGTTCCACTGGGGACCCCTGGGGGTCAGTGCAGGCCACATTTCTCTGAGCTGTCTCTTCTGGGGGTGAGGGAGGGGTGGGGGAGGTAGGGTGTGTATACCCCAACTTCTAACAGTCACTGGGGAGGGCCCCCGGGGGAGGGGCATTAATTCCCTGGCACTAGCCTGCCCACTTGCATCTCTTGGATGGTCAGAGAAGGCTCTCGGGGGGACTGGGAGGTGCCAGCAGGTGAGGTCGTGCAAGGTGCACACACAGCATGCATCGAGGGTACAAGTGGAGCCCTGATGGCATCTGCTCGCTCCTTTATTTCCTGTTCTTCAACCTCCTGGTCTGAAAGAGATTACCACTGCCCTCAGTCAATACAGTTTCTTACAAACAGAGCTAGTTCTCCGGCAACTAAGCCAGCAAAGAGAGAGGCAGAGGAAATGAAATATTCGGGCCAGTCTGCTGCCTGATTTCTTAGAGGTCTGGCTGGTACCGGGCAGGCAAGGGGGTATGGCTTATTTTCTGGTGTAACAGTCCCTAGTTTTCTACTGACCACATGTTAATAGAAAGCAGATTTCCTGGACCTTGGCTCACATTCTGCATGTTGGAGCGAGCTACTCTCTCTCTCTCTCACTGCCTCAGTTTCCCTGTCTGGGGTGACACCTTGGAAACGAAGCTTTCATTATGGAGATCAGCTTTCTCTTGGTGCTATGGAAAGGTGCTGACAGGTCGTTATGATGATGAATGCCACTTTGACCAACCCTGGTGGTGGGGGACACCGTGTGGAAGCCGGAGGGACTTAAACTGTTTCTTTTTTATTTTTCAGCCTTTGCCTTTATTTTATTTTTCCATTTATTTTTATTAATTGGAGGCTAATTACTTTACAATATTGTAGTGGTTTTTGCCATACATTGACATGAATCAGCCATGGATTTACATGTGTTCCCCATCCTGATCCTCCCTCCCACCTCCCTCCCCATCCCATCCCTCTGGGTCATCCCAGTGCACCAGCCCTGAGCACTTGTCTCATGCATCCAACCTAGGATGGCGATCTGTTTCTCGCTTGATAATATATATGTTTCAATGCTATTCTCTCAGATCATCCCACCCTCGCCTCTTCAGCTGTTTCAAGGACTGAAGCTACGACAAGAGAACAATACATTCTCCTTTTACCCATTCTATGCCATGCCTGGCAGAGACTTGCAGCAAACTAGGAAGTCAGGGAAAGACACCCCTGGTTAGGGGGAGCTTGATGAAATACTGTTATGTGGAGAGAGACAAAGACATAAGCAAACTGTCTTCAAGCGGGACAGGGATCAGAAAGTCTCTAGAGGTGCATTTAAGAAACCCTTAGATTTTCTGGGCTGACCATAGAAGGGGAAACTGAATTAGAGATGATTATCTCTGATCAGATGTCCCCAGATCTCTTATGGACACTTATTTGTGATGACCTGTTACTCCACCAACAAGGTCTGGCTGAGAAGCCCTGACTATCTGGGGATCTACAGAGTAACCACAGGGTCTGACCCCAGGAACCATCTTTGTCTTCTCAACCAGCTTTTAAGTATCCAGAAGCTGGGACTGTCACCTAGGGATCTAGGTGAGATTGTGTCCCCCACACAATCCTGGATTTTATTGATGCACAAAAACCACCAAATGAACAAATCACAAAACCTAGAGTTTCCACCAATATTCCTGATCATAGAAGCCCTCAATTTTCCTACTCTCTCTTTCTTGCTAGTCCTGCCCAAATTGTAGAAAAACTGGGGTAAAGACTCCTACTGTGTTCAGCCTGAGATAACTGACCAAATTTGTACTCTTAACCCATACACAATTGCCTAAAGCACCCTTCCTAGAGAAATTAAAAAAAAAATTCTGTCCTCTACACAAGATTCATTTCAAAATCATAGCTGAGATATGTTGTTTAATATTCCCTTCCATCTTCTTTGTTCCATCCTGTTTCATTTGAAGTTTTATTAAATCAGCATATGGTAAAACTGATTTGGCTGTGTGCGTGTGAACACGCATGAGCAATCCTATGAGATTTAACACATACACTGATTTGTATAACCACCATCACAATCAGGATTCCCCAAAGTTCTATGACTTCACGAAAGTCCCTTATCTAGCTCTACTGGATTCACACTCTCCTCCAGCCCTGCTCATTATTACTACACTTTCACTCTTTTCAGAATATCACATGAGTGGAATTAGGTTGTGTCCTGCTAACTATGCCAGACTTCCCTGGTGGCTCATTGGTAAAAAATCTGCCTGCAATGCAGAAGAAGCAGGAGACGTGGGTTCGTTCCCTGAGTCGGGAAGGTCCCCTGAAAGAGGGAATGGCAACCTACTCCTATATTCTTGCTGGGAAAACTCCATGGACAGAGGAGCCTGGCAGGCTAAAGTCCATGTGGTTGCAAAGAGTTAGACATTACTAAGTGACTGAGCACAAACACGCAGGTTATAAACAAGTTTATGAGCACAAGGTCTCTGAGGTTTTGTATGTTGTCATGTGTATCTGCAGTTTGCTCCTTAATTGTTGAGCAGTATTCTATTTTATGTAGTTGAGCCATTCATTCATCAAAAGACACTTGGGTTATTTCTGGTTTTCACCAATTAGGAGGAGGACTGCTATACACATTTGTATGCAAGTTTTTGACTGAACATAAGTTTAAATTTCTCTAGGTTAAATAGCAGAGTTGTATAATATATCCCTGTGTAACTCCATAAGAAACTGTCAAAGTCTTTTCCAAAGTGTCTTTACCATTTTGCATTCTCATTAGCAGAGTATGAGTTCCAATTGCTCCACATCCTTGTCGGCACTTGATACTACCAGTTTACAAAAATTAAAAATCCTATTTCAATAAAGGTACTCATTAAGAGATTAAAACAATCTCATCATTGTTTTAATTTACCTTTCTCTAACTGCTAATGATGTTGGACATCTTTGCATGTATTCATTTGCCATCATATATACTCTTTGGTTTGTTTCAAGAGGTTTCTCCTTTCATTCTTGACGCATGGATTTAGGAGTTGCTTTAAATCTTTGCCCCATAACTTGAACACTGTGTCAAGATAGGGATGATTTTATCTGTCATCTTTTCCCTTGTGAGTTGAGATTTTCTTGGTTGTTCTTAAACTAAGTAACTTTGGATCACATCTTGAACATTTTCAGGGTCTTATTTAAATCCTAAGGCTACTGAGTTTTGTTTGTTTGTCTGTTTCAGCAATCAATCTGGTTAGGTTCGGGTGGCAAATTCCAGTAAGTTTTCTTTGGACTGTGGCTCCAATGTTGGCTCTGTTTTCAAAGGCTCTGCAGTGATTTTCAGATTCGTCCCAAGTGTGTGCCCCTCAGAGGCCATTATGGGACTTGGGTGTTGGTCTACCTTATAGTAGGCTTCCCTTGTGGCTCAGCTGGTAAAGAATCCGCCTGCAGTGCCAGAGACCTGGGTTCGATCCCTGGGTGGGGAAGATCCCCTGGAGAATGGAAAGGATACCCACTCCAGTATTCTGGCCTGGAGAATTCCATGAACTGTATAGTCATATGGGGTCACAAAGAGTCGGATACAACTGAGTGACTTTTACTTTCACTTTCACTACCTTATAGTAGGATTGTCAAAGTCTTTGGCATACTCTTTAGAACCACGCATGCTCATCTTGAAGGTGAGCCCAGTGGTTAATCTAAACAACTTTATGAAATTACTGTCTTGATCTCCTTTCCTTTCCTCTGACCTTCCTGACACATTATGACTTCCTGAGGCCCCTTGATGCTGCCATGCAGTCCCCATGACTATGTCTGCATCCGGCACCAAATAGTGGGAGGACAGAGAGGAAAGAGCAGTGGGAAGTCTCCCCATGTTTTCGGTACCCCATTTCCCCTGTTTCGAATGAGGGAGTCTCCTCCATCAGAGCTTTAGGCTTCTGTTTGGCTTCTGCTGCTATCACTGCTACCAGATTTTCTGGGGGTGCCAATTTGATGGCACTTTAAATTCTTATCTCCTTCCCTGAGCTGCCTGCTACCACTTACTTTTTGGAATTCTCAGATAGCTGCTCCATGTGTTCTGTCCATGGTGAGAATATGTCCTTCTCACTGTTAGGGATAAAAACTTTCTTCCATAATATTTTCTTCATTTTCTTTTACTGAAAGTTTAATTGAGAAATTATTTTTGGCTGCGCTGGGTATTCATTGCTGCATGCAGGTTTTCTCTAGCTGTGGCGAGTGGGGGCTGCTCTGAAGCTGTGGTGCGTGGGTTTTCATTGCGGTGGCTTCTCCTGTTGTGGACCAGGGGCTCTAGGTGCGTGGGTTTTCATTGTGGGGGCTTCTCCTGTTGTGGAGCGTGGGCTCTAGGTGCATGGGCTCGGTAGCGGAATCTTCCTGGACCAGGGGTTGAACCCATGTCCCCTGCATTGGCAGGTAGATTCTTGACCACTGGACTGCTAGTGAAGTCCTCATTTTCTTTAGTTGTCATGAGAGCAGGCTCATTTCTTTCCTTTACCC